GATCCAAGTATATTCAACTGAAGATAAAATATATTCTTGAGTCAAGTAAATTTTTTACTTGTATTGGTCAATCTTGGTTATTATTATTATTATTTTTTTTTTTTTTGGAGTTTACTCCTTAAGAAACGATTTGAGTTATAAATCCCGGTACGGAAATTTTATGAGGAGTAAAATCAAGTGTAACACGAAAAGTTGAGGCGTTACGTAGAAAGAGACAAACATATATATCTGTAGGATTGAACGTACAAAAGAATGAGATGGAATACATTACACAGCGTATATTATTCTCGGGGTCTCCTCTTTGTTCGATGCTTCGTAGTATCACTGTATAGTTCACTACCTCTGGTCTGAAAGTCGAATGTGTACGTATGATTGTATATATGTGTGTGTGTAGCGTGCCGGCGTATTACGAAGTTCTGCCGCAATTTGAGCCAAAAAAAAGGTTTAGTGTTTTTCAAATATTTGAAAAACTAATGAAGATTTAAAAAATTTTTAAAAAGATTCAAAAAGAGGAGGAAATTTCCTAAAAAAAGTCCCAATTCCCGGAACTGTAGGACAAATATTTATAATTTTCCCAGAGGGATTTTCCCAGAGGGATGAAAATACGGTCAAAAACGGGTTTGCAAAAAACTGACCCCCCGCCCTTTTTTTTGTTTATTGTTAGTAATTTTTGCATTTATGGCAAGCGGAACTTCATTTTTTTTTTTAAATCATCTAGACCCCATTCCGAATCAAATGATACCTCAATCATAATTTTTGGAGATTGCTGAAACAATTTGACCAAAAACGCACATATTGACTAGACTATCAGTAGAGTTTAAAATGTTGGTTTTCATTATTTATGTATTATAATGTTAGCATGATTTTTGTAGAAGATTTATAAGAAATGTAATTTTTAACTTAAAAAATATTGAAAATGTTATATATCATTCATGATTCAACTCCCTAAAACTGAATTAGTGAAAATTCGTCAAATAGGTGAATATTCACTCAACTTAAGTGTCAATCGAGCCACTTTTTCAAGTCAGTGGCTCGGTTCTCACTTAAATAAGTGAATATTCACTTATTCATGTTTAGAGAGAATGATTATAAATCAATTTAATGAAATAATTTCGAAAAGTAACTGAGATTTTTATGATTTTCAAAAAGATAAATGATTATTTATTTGCAAAAGATATACAGCCTAGACACTGGATTAGCCTTTTAGTATATTTTCTAGATCGCTAGCAGAGTATGTACTACAAGAGATACAATCTAGGTGCTGGATTACCTTTTAGTACAATGTCAAGGTTACTGGCAGAGTCTATACTATAAAAGATACAGTCTATACTAGGCACCGAATTACTTTTGTGAATATGTTTAGATGTACAAATACATGGAGTGAGCATGTACTAGTACATGAGCAGCTACTGGAGCTTGTATCTTATTTAAAATTTTATTTTTATAAGTCCAAAAAGAACTTAATTTGGGGAAATTTTTTTTTTTCATTTTTCCACTCTCTAAAAATGAAATAGTGGATTTTCACTGGTTCACAGTGCATATGCACTGTTTTGCACAGTTATAAGTATACCACTTGGAATCAGTGAATTTTGACTATTTCACCTAGTGAATTCATAATATCACTAATTTAAACAGTGAACCCCCCTATTTAAATTAGTGGTAAAAAATTCTCACAGAATTAGTAAATTCCACTGTAATTATTGATAGTGAAAGTTACTGTTTAAACAAGTGAAATTCACTGCAATCATTAGTGATAAGAATTACTAATACAAATAGTAGAAATTACTGAAATTATTGGTACTAATAACTACTGTTTAAATCAGTGAAACCCACTGTAATGACTAGTGATATAACGTATTTATAAAATTAGTGAAAATCACTGTAATCATTAGTGATCAAAATATTATTCGAGTCAGTGAAATTCACTGCAATCACTAGTGATAAGAAGTTCTAATAGAATTCATAAAATTTATTATTTTGCTTCATGAGAATTCTACAAAGTAAATCAGTAAATTTTTTTGAAATAAATAAAATCTAATAAAAGTGGAAGAATAATTAAGTAATTAAAGTTATTACAAAGTAATAATTTATATCATAATAAAACACAATAGAAGATAATTTTTTTTACAAACAGTAATATAATATTTTTCTTAACTTTAAAGTTTTAAAACATAAATATTTACGTTTACAACATAGAAGAAAACACACTTTTGATAATCTTTAGATTATTATAAACACTAAAAGTAAAATAATGGGTAAGTAAAAAGTAATGTCATTACTTATTAAGTAATAAATCAGTAAAAGTGCTACATAAAAAAACTTGTTTAAGTAATTATAATAAGTTCAATAAAAATTCAAAAAGGTTTTCTTTTTGATATAAAACTTGTTTTTAAAAACAATAAGAAAGTGAAGTGTAGTAATAAGTAATAAGTAAAAAGTAGAAATAAGTATACTTATTAGTATACTTATGACTATAGTCATAAATAAAAATTTTTAGTCCGAAACATCATCTTCAGACAAATCCTGACTATTGTTATTTTTGTTACTCTTGTAACTCTTGTCATTAGTGTCGATCTTGAAGTTAACAATATTCGTATGTAAAGAGGACACCATACTTTTTGGGTTAATTTTCATTTGGAAAATGTAATAGTCTATAAAATTGTAAAAATTTTTCAATTTTTCGGGATATTCGACATTCAACACATAATATGTCTTGTAGAGAAGGTCAAATGAAGTGATAGTTTTACTAGCAGGATGGACGCCAATAAACCACTCATCGCCTTGTATAAAAGTTTTGTCTACTGATTGACCCAAATGAGTGATCAAATAAGGCTGTATAGCTTTCTTCGACTGTTTTCGAAGTTGTTCGGCGAAATCTTCAACATTTGTCCCTTCCTAAATGATAAAAATCGCAATTAAAATTAAATCTATATAAATATAAAATATATTCAAATTAAGATTGTATGTACATAAAAAAAAAAAAACCTACTGATACAAGTTTGACGAGTTCATCATTCGGGAACACTTTTTTCATAATTGGAGTGTCATTCTCTATTTCTTCGTGTTTCTAGAAAAATTTTACCATTTATTTAAATGAGACAAACACTGTAATAAGATTAAAAATAAATTAACAAATATTTACTCGTTTTTTTCCTTTTCCTTTTCCTTGTCCGACTTTTTTATTTTTTTCATTTTCTTGGTCATTTTTCTTCTGTTGGTCTTTTTTCACTTGTTCAGCTTTCTTTATTTTTGAAATTTCCGCATTGGTTATCGGCAATAGTTCCGTAAGAATTAATAGTGCTCGAAAATTATCTTTAAAAATTAAATCAATAGATATTTAATTATAAATAGTAATGACTAAAACTTCGAAGCAACAAATTACTTACCATCTTTGATGATATCTGATGTTGCAAATATCTCTGGTCGTAAATTTTCAGCATAAAACAGAATCTTCTGAGTATATAACGTAGGAAATTTTGATATTAAATTATCTTTTGACTTAGGATAAATTGATTGAAATTCTCTGTCAATCTGTTAATAAATTTAGTTGTTAGAATATAAATGAAAAATATGAATTATCAATTAAACAATCGATTTTACCAGTTCGCCATGATAATCTAAAAATCGAGGAAACTTTTTAAAAATTTCCGATATTGTTGGACTTTCTTTATTAATCCAATGGCGTCGATATTCCCTGGTTGCATCCATCAGAAATACAATATGGTCTTTATTTTGGTCCGTTGGATTTTTACTTTGTAAAATAGATATCTAAAGTAATAAAAGTTAATGTGTTATTGCATTAAAAATTAAAATTATCGAGATAAATAAATATAATTTTTTTAGTTGATATACCTAATTATTTATTTCTTGGACATTAAAATTCA